ATCAGACTAGACTATTCCAATTGAGGTGTTTACCTGGACGTATTTTATTCCGATTGAGCTATTAGTCGGGTTATTAATGGATTATCAGGCTGCATGTAAACGTGGCTACTGTGTAAAATGTAGTGCGTGTTTTCTCTCCAGTGCTCCAGGCTCTGGAGGTCCTCCCAGTGGCTCCCCCACCTCCTCCTCGCCAGCTCTCTGGGCAAGAGCAGCAGAAGCTAGAGGAACAGGAAGAGGACACTCTCAGGGAACTCCGCCTCTTCCTGCGTGATGTCACAAACCGACTTGCTCAGGACAAGCGCTTCAAGATCTTCACAAAACCTGTGGACACAGAGGAGGTTAGAGCATATTAGGAATGTTGGGATGTTGGCGTTTGTTGTTGGTTAATGTGTTATTTAATGTGAAACATCTGTTTCGTTTGATGTCTTTTATTAAGTCATTGCGTTAAAGTATTACATCTGTTCTCAGGACAGTTATAACCTCCTAATAAGCGGTTCTTTTTTCCTGCCTGTGGTTTGTACAGGTTCCAGATTACACTACAGTCATTAAGCAGCCCATGGACCTCTCCACAGTCCTCAGCAAAATTGACTTGCACAAATACGTAACTGTGAAAGACTTCCTTCATGACGTGGATCTGATCTGGAAGAACGCTCTGGAGTACAACCCAGACAGAGACCCCTCAGGTGAAGTCATCTAATGGAATGTTGCACAAGGCTTCTGGGCCCTCCAAAGATGCATTGCCTGAATAGCAGAGCCTCATTAAATATCTGTAATGGCTTAAGTGTGTGCAATAACGGTCTTACTTGACTTGTTTTTGCATCTCTTTCAGACCGTTTGATTAGACACCGTGCCTGTGCACTCAAGGACACTGTTCACGCCATCATCAAAGATGAACTGGATGAAGACTTTGAGAAGATCTGTGTTGAGATCAAGGAGTCACACATGAAGCGAGGTTCCGTTTTAGTTTTGGTTTTGTTTATGTTGTCTTTGTTTGGAGAGACTCTCAGCTTAGTTGCCTTTTTTATGCTCATTTTCAGGTTGCACCACATCAAGGTTTACCCCTTCATATTACCATGTGCTGCCAAAAGTCAGTACATTAGCAGAGCCTAATGATTCTGGCCCCTCCAAAGATGCTGCTCCTGTGGTTGCAACACCAGTGACACCAAAGCAAGCAGGTAAAGTACTAATAGGATTTCGTGGGCATTGACGTCTCACGGTTTTTCTGGTAATGATGTGAATGCATAAGTATCTCTGATCAAATTTAAAACTTGGTGGAAGTTACAGCACTTTTTGAGCAAGGTGTAATTTTGGGTTTTTAATTGATCAGTGTGATCATCTTGACTGGTACAAAACTGTCATACAGACTAATAAATCTTTGTTAATAAAAACTAAATATATGGTTTCTCTCTGAAGGTGTACAGAAGAAAAAGAAGCGCAGGAAGCTATGGAGCAATGGCCTTGTCCGCCGAAAGAAGTCATCACACTCGCACTCAAAAGAAACAGCCGAGTCAGGTGAAGAAGAGGAGGATGAGGATGAAGACGAAGATGACGGGAAGGCTGCAGAGAGCGAGGGGGCAGATGAGAAAGTCAAAGATGTGGAATCTGAACCGATGGAGGTGGAGAACAAGGAAGAAGACCCACCTCCAACTGAAAACAGGAATGAAACCATCCCCCCGCTTGTTCAAAACGGCAATGTCAGCAGTGGAGAAGGAGATGATGTCAGTATGGTTTCATCTGCGAATGGAATCCAGAATGGAAATGTTTCTGATGCCATTCCGAATGGCTGCAGTGCTGCAGAGGATGGAGACAACAGTGAGGTCCAGCTGATGGAGAGCACTGATGCTAAGAGGGTGAAACCTAGTGCAGAGGAAGACACAGGAATAGGTTGGTATCCAAACATAATTAATATTGGGGTCATTCTACAGAAACGTCCAATTTTTTATTATTTATTTAATCTATCCGTAGGAGTCATTGATGTTACACAAGAAAGTAAACATCAGTGACATTTTAATGAAAAATGCATTTTACAGAATGGCTGCTACAGAGCATCAAATCATGTCAATCATGGAATATCCACCAAAATATGTAAATGAATCCATTTGTATCCTATTTTTTCATAATTACCTCAGAATAAAGTCGGTCACACCAGTGACTTTAACTAAAAGCTTCATATGAAATCATAAGCTAAATGAGAATCTCTGATAACTGAAAAGACACAGTGGACTGGATGTCGTCAGTGTGATTTTATTTCAAAATAGATTTTTTGTTACGCAGTAACACCAGTGACACGACTCCTGGGGAACTTTCGTTATAAATTTTATAATATTTATTTGGCATTTATTTTCTTCATGTCATTTAAATCATATATTTCAAAGTCATTTATAGATTATTGCAGTTAAAATAGCAGAAAAACATGTTTTCCACCTCAAAATATGGCCTCAGCCTTCACACTGACTGTGGAGACGAGCACCTCTGTGGGGTTTGGAATTGTAGATAATTGATTTAAAAACCAATATTGCTAAATTGAGGCTCAGGAAGGTGTAGCTGTTAAAATAACTTGTTTTCTTTTAAAATATAAATTAATTGTATTCCCTAACATGTTTTTCAAGTGTAATATATCTGTAAACGCTAGAGACACAAAAATAGACGTTTCCAAGAATGACTCATTAATTTATCTAACAGAGTGGTATTGTTTTACAATGTGTCGATACAATCACATAAACACAACTGAAACTGAATTTTGAATTGCTTTGTCTAGAGAAGGGGATGAGACGCATGACTAGAGGCTTGAGGATGCAGGCCCAGCAGCAGCAGCTTCTTGATGTGGACACTGCCATGAGGATCCTGGAACAGGGGAACCAGCCACTGATTGTGGATCACAACAAACTGAAGGTAAATCATGGTCAGAGTCTGTTACTGTGTGATGGGGGGGTCATCTAATGTGGACAGTCAAAAGGTCTGCAGAAAACCTAGAATCGCTCACTAGTGGCCATCAACATTTCAAAACTTTTTTAAAACCATATTCAAAACAGCGTGAGGTACTGTTTGCTGAAATCACGCGGCCACTTTGATGTGCTTTGAAGAACTGTTTCCGTACAGCAATACCAAAGACGTTTCGAAAAGGTTTTGAATCAGTAGCCACGTTTACATAATAATCCATTAAGAATCCGACTGACAGCTCAATCGGAATAGAATACGTCCATGTATACACTTCAATCGGAGTAGTCTTGTCTGATTGAGGCCATTCAGAATACAATTTCTATCCGATTGAACAAGGTGGGTAAATCCTCATTTACAGGGTAATCCTGTAAATAATCTTGTAGTGAGCATGTAAATAAAGATTTTCCATCAGATTGTTGAGTAGAGAGAGATACAAACACCAGTTTTAATCTGTAATCGGAATGTATTTAATCGGATTGGCAAAAATCTTTGCATGTAAACACAGCCACCGTTTTTTCAAATATGCTAATCACTAGTTACTGCAGCGTTTTCTTTTCCTGTTTCTGAAACATGTGGAACTAAAGCCCAGCTAATGAAAGATTTTAGAGTGAGGAGAACATGAATGCAGATTTGATTACATCAAAAAAGGTGGAAGAGAAATTAGAATACATGTTCATGTTGTTGTGAACTGCTCTAAATGATTAATGCTGGGTTTTGTTTTCAGGAGCTCTTGCAAAAAGTGGTGGCCAAGACTGAGGGTTATGAGGTTGATCGGCTGGAGAAGCTTTATGCTCTGTTGTGCCAGAGCATCTACAGACATAAGAGAGATTATGACAAAACTGCACTTATACAGGTATGCCAGGTGAAGACTAGAACAGAGTCCTGTCCATTTTATCAACAATGCATGCCACATGATTTCTTATTTAGAAAAAATAATTTGTATTGCTGTGTATATGAATGGGTCGTTTTTAATTGGAAGCGTAAATTTATGTGAATAGGCCTGTTAGAGGTGGGCAATATGACAGTATTTATCATGATATGAATTGAATTACATTGTCACAACATGCTTTTCTGAGCACATTGTGGATATCATCAGTACTTAAGGAGCACTCACCAGCTGCATGTTTCATTATTAAAGAAAGTATAATTAGTCCTGTTTAATTGGATTTAGTGCAGAATAGTATGTAAAAAGTAATAAAAATTGTATTCATACTTCATTAGTATTTTTGTATTGTTGCTGTCCAAAGAAAACCATGCATCTCCAATTTTTTTTGTTTTTTTATTATTTTTCTATATCATTGCAATACACCAGCTCTCCTTACTTCGTGTGAAAATGTGATGATAAACGGACCAATAGAAATGCTCTAAAATCACTTGAAATAAAATCTCTTTACATTAACTTACATTAAAAGTAGTGTGTTTTTGCCTTCTCCTGTAAAGTCCCTAATTTGGAGATGCTTGTTTTTCTTCAGACACTGACGTTATGAATGTGGCGCTACTGATTTATTTATTAGTTTCAACTTAGCAAACCTTAGGAAAATAAAAGACTGTGTATTGAGAAAATGCCTTTAAATGTTGTATATTTTGCCATTTTGCCCACACTTAAGGCCTATATAACATCTCAGTTCAAAGAAATCTGCATATTTTATCATTTTTTCTGAAAGTTAAAACTTCTGATCTGGCTCATATCTAATGAAATGTCTCTTTTTTTTGCAGGAGATGTCAAAGCAAGTTGAGGACTTCTCGTAGTCTTTTTACAGAAGCATATACATACAGCTTTAGTGTTCCTGCAAAGTTCTGCAAGTTCATAAATTATATTTTACTATTTCATGGGGAAATTAATAAGAATGGAGCGTTGTACATTTCTTATGTATTCCTGTCATTCTATTAAAGCCTTTGTCAGTATTCTCCTCGTCTTTCTTTTTCTTACACTGCCTTTCCTGTGCTCAGTGCAGTCAGTCAGTTTCATGTGGAGGTTCCTGGCTGCTGTTGAAGGTTTGCGTGTCCGGCTGCGCGCGTGCGCTCTGGTCCGTGCTCGGTAACAGAAATAGTCATAGTGATACTGTCGATGCGGACTGTTGCTCTGTGGGCGGCTGAAACGATATCAAAGAGAAAAAAGGATAAATGTCAGCAATGGAGGGGAATTTCCACTTGCTTGTTCAGAGATGCGGCGAATCACGTGACCCACCACGCCGGGTCTCATCGGCCGGTTACGTAGAGAAAGCTCGGAAGTTTCCAACAGTTAAGCGACTTCGGCGGGACCTTGGCTGGCGGTGTGGCCTTTAGCTCGGACCAGAAGGTGACTTAACGCGTTATTTGCCGCTGTTTGCGGCTCCGTTTGCGTAAAGTGTGCACTGTTTTCTCACCTTTTTTCAAGTTACGGCGGGGAGTCGCCTGGCGATGACGTAAACACGTAACACATTGACAGCGGAGACGCCTGATCGTTAAAAAAACTGCCATTAAAATGAACGCAAACTGTCTCCGTGCGCGTTTAACCGACAGCGCCGTTTAAAGGTGGTGTTTAGGGGGGCTCGGACTCGCTCCTGGAGGGGGAGTCGGGAGAAATCAGTCCGACTCAGCGCTGCATCTGGAGAGACGCATCCAGCGTTTTGTGGCGAGGAGAAAAGCGCTGCCTCCTCCAGTTAGCCAGCTAGCTAACGCGCAACTTCCCGCATTACCGCGCTCCGTGGCCGCGGAAACCTCGAAGGCAGGCGGCCAGCAGACCCGCAGCACACCCGCAGTGCTCCGTAAGCTCTAACGGTAGCTAACTCCGACGCTCTCAGCTGCTGAACGGCCGAGAGGCTGCTGTCCCCCCCCCCGGTAAGTTACAGACGCTAACTAGCATCACACAGCCCTCCTCCGCGCTGCTCTAACACTACCGCGGATGACAGCCCGTAAACCGTCCGCTGACACAGTACCGCAACATAAGTTTGGCTACGGAAGCCAACTTCTTGTCCTAATTCACCCGTTCCACCTTAAAAGGTTGGCGCCAGAATGTAACGGCTGCACTATTTAAGGTGGAACGGGAAAATTAGGACGAGAAGCTGACTTCAGCTTCGTGGTTTGGTTCGTCTACAAGCGTCTGCGGACAGTTATATACTGCTTATTAAGGCTAGTCGGCTGTTACTGTGGAGTGGAGCAAGTCAAAGGGGGATTCCAGTGTTTTTCCAAAATTTCTGAATAGTTAAGTCTTTGTGATGTAAACAGTGGTTCATTGTAGAGAGGCTAAGATTCAAATGTCTTTACAGTGGTGGTGATGGGAACCAGAGGTCCACAGGTCTGCACAACTGCACACAAAACAAAGTTATTTTATTTACTATCCAAAACCACCAGTGAGTCTACATGTGTCCTACATGTGTATTCTTTCTTTTTAATGTAATGTTGATGGTAAAATAGGCATAAATCTGAAAAAATAAGTTTTCTTTGGGGACTATAACACCCTGCATGTGTCCCTCCGGCCATGAAGTGATTATGATCAATTTTAAACCAGAGCTTTATCACAAAACAATGTCTCGGATATCTGACGGCATATTTATAACCGTTTCATGTAATAACTTTCTGTAAGGGAGCTTTTAGAAGTCAAACTTTTCAGAAGTCTGGTTCCTATCACCTCCACTGTGAACAGTTCTGACTCTGAGTTTCTCTAGAACGTTGCATTTCACACCAAACCACTCTGAATGACTTTATCTGCATCTTAACCCCTTTAATTATATAGAATTTTTTGAAAAATTAGTGGAGTTCCTGGGGCAGTCGTGGGCTGGAGGTTAGGAAACCAGCCCTGTGACCGGAAGGTCACCGGTTCGATTCCCTGAGCCGACAGTACGTGACTGAAGTGCCCTTGAGCAAAGCACCTAACGTCCAACTGCTCCCCCGGCACTGTGAATAGGGCTGCCCACCACTCTGGGCAAGTGTGCTCACTGCCCCCTAGTGTGTGTCTTCACTAGTGTGTATGTGGTGTTTCACTGCACGGATGACGGATGGGTTAAATGCGGGGGTGAAATTTACCCGTTATGGAACTAATAAGGGTCTCTTAACAACCTGTAACATCCAAAAACATTTTCCACATAGATGTTTGCTGAAGTTATAATGTGTTGTGTGTTTTTTTTTTTTTTTTTTTTTAACGTTTTTATATCCCTGCACCAGTTTCTTTTCCTTTGTAAAAATTAATTTAACATTAGCATTATTCAAAGGAACAAATGAATTTCACCATGGCTTAATTTCTTGTAAACATGCATACATGCCAACTTAAGTGGCATTTGTTTAAAGACTTGAAAAAATCCCCTCTGATGATGTCATGGAGGTGGGACAAACTTTTTGAAAAACTATGACGGAGGCTTGAGGACAGGCTGTCCGAAATAGTTTTCTTTTTCCACTAGGAACCTAACTTTACTGCTAGAAAGCCTAATATCACATCTGTACTTATTCCGTTAGCAGTCAGGATTTCGTTATGGCAGAAGGGGGGATTCACAGTGATTATATAATGTTGATTTTGCGCAATGCATGCTGGGTATTGTAGTAAGAACATTGATAGACAAAAACACAAAGATGCAAAATTGTATCAAACCAATGAGGCTGAAGGATTTTATGCTGCGTTACAGAATACTACATACTATGACACCTAACATAGCAATTGCTAGTTTTATGCTGGAATGCCCCTTTAAATGCAAATGATTACCATCATGCAGCTTATGATTGAAAGTAACTGTCTGGCTCTGCAGGTGTGAAAGTTTGTGTTGCACTATATACCTGTATAATCAAGTGAAAATTAAGTATTTGCATGTTTTAGAACTAACCTCATCCTTATCGTGTCTTTTTTTCAGTGGCTCCTATACTGAGGTGAACTTCTAGCATGTGAATGTACTCTCCTGGCGTTTAGGCCGGTTCAGACAGTCTTTGCCTTTCTCAAAGCCTCTCTGGTGCCACCAACGCAATGTCAAGCAGAAGGAAGTCCACGACCCCCTGCATGGTGCTTCCATCAGATGTGGTGGAACAGGATCCGGACATGGAGACCCTGGCAGGGGAGGAAGGAGCTGAGAATGCGGCAGAAGGCCCTACAGAAGGAGCGGTGGTTCCCATGGAAACTGAGGGAGGTGAGGGTTGGTATCCTAAATACAAGCCTTTTCTAGGGTTAGATGTTGGTCCTTTTAATCTTTGGTGATCAATACAGTCTAGTAATGTCATGAGATATACACTAAATCAGGAGGGCGTTCGATGCCACAGCCATTCATGGTCTAAGCGTAATTGACCTTGCTCTTTTTGGGTGGGTGGGATGGCCCTCCCTCTTCCCCATTGTACAATGTTAGTCAACATGGGTGCCTGAATTGGTAGTTAGTGTTCTCCTTCAAGCGCTTTGAGCTGTCCAATGACGTTGCATTTGCAGCAGGTCAAAAAGTAGTGGCTGAGTTCACGTGTCTTTTGCGGAAAGACCACATGAGGCTACAAGTGGAACTGGCTATGACTAATTTGGGGATAAGACTTTCTCAGCTTCGTAACTTAATAAGTAAATGGTTGCAAGGTGCCTAGACCTGATGTATAAAAGTAAAACCTACTCTAATGCAGAAATAAACAAAACCTTGATGGAATGGTTTGGGTCCTTATCAGTATTTATATGCATTTTCATTATTGATGTAAAAATGGCAAGTGTTATGGAAAGTTGTTTTTTTCGTTCCAGACCATGAAGACAGTTCAAGCCATTCTACAGGAAAACGCCCAAATCAAACCACTGTGGAGCAGTCAGCCACCGATCTAACCACTGAAGGAAGTTTAGCGCAAGCTGAGACAGAGGAGAGTGAAGACCCTTCGGTCACTGGAATCTCTCTCAGCAAAACACCAATCATGAAAAAGAAGAGCAAGCCTGAGCCTAAGAGAATAGCTGTGTCTCTCAAAGGGACAGATGACAGCGACGCCTTGATTGAAAGCGAGGGGGATCCAGAACCGATGGAGGCATCCGTCGTGGGTACCTCTGTCACAGCTGAAATGATGAGCCCGGTTCTTGCTGAGTCTGCAAAGCCTGGTGTGCTTGTCAGCATTCCCAATCCAGTGCCCACTGAGCAGAAGAAGCCAGTTATGAACCCTGCTACGGTGCTTCCTGCCGGCCTGGCCCAGGTTCTGTCAGCCCTGCAGGCCCAGCAGAGTGCACAGGCTCAGCTTCTGATTCCAGTGAGCAGCATTCCGACCTACAATGCAGCCATGGACTCCAATGCACTGCTGGTGAACACCTACAAGAAGTTCCCTTATCCCTCGGCACCTGAAATCATGGGCCTAGCAGCTCAGACCAAGTTCAGCGAGGAGCAGATAAAGATCTGGTTCTCTGCTCAACGTTTAAAGCATGGTGTAAGCTGGACACCAGAGGAAGTTGAGGAGGCTAGGAGGAAGCAGTTTAATGGCACAGTCCACACGGTACCCCAGACCATTACAGTCATACCAGCCCACCATCTATCTGCCACTAATGGTCTGCAGTCTATCCTTCAGACTTGCCAAATCGTGGGCCAGCCAGGCCTGGTTCTAACGCAGGTCGGCACTGCAAACAGCCTGCCGGTCACCACCCCCATCACACTGACCGTTGCAGGAATGCCCAGTCAAAGCCAGGCACCCAAGATCTCAAGCAATCAGACCAGCCCTGCTGTTAGTGAAACAAAGCGAGCCACCACAGTCCAACCACCATCACTGACCCCACAGGAGAACTCCGCCCTCAGCACCGATCACTTTGGCCTACGGCCCAAGAAGTCAAAGGAGCAGCTGGCTGAGCTGAAAGCCAGCTACATGAAGAACCATTTTGCCAGTGATTCTGAAATAGCCAGGCTGATGAAGCTGACCAACCTCACCAAAGGCGAGATCAAGAAGTGGTTCAGCGATACCCGTTACAACCAGCGCAATTCCAAAAACAACCACTATACTGTCTCCCATGAGAGCGGCAGGGCCAGCAGCAACAACAGCAGCAGCAGCAGCAGCACAACCATCGTCATTGACTCCGGCAGTGAGACTCCGCAGTCCCCGACCACATCGCCTATCAAAGAGAAGGAAACCCGCACCAAAACCTGGAACCCCTTTCCAGATTTCACTCTGCAGAAGTTTAAGGAGAAGACCCCAGAGCAGCTGGTGATTTTAGAGGAGAGCTACCAGAAATGCGATACCCCGTCGGACGAAGAGCTGAGCCGGCTGAGGGCTGAAACAAAGCTCACCAGACGGGAGATTGACGCTTGGTTTACAGAGAAGAGGAAAACCCCAGCTGCTGAGACATCTGAAAAGAACGATGGGGCCGATGGCGAAACCTCCCAGGGTAAACGTAGCCAAACTCCACCTGGTTTGAAAAAGTTGTCCAAGGAGAAGATAACCAAAAAAACTCCAGAGCAGCTCCACGTCCTCAAGAGCGCATTCGTACGCACTCAGTGGCCTTCCGCCGAAGAATATGACCAGCTCGCTGAGGAGAGCGGGCTACCCCGCTCTTACATCGTCAACTGGTTTGGAGATACGCGCTATGCCTGGAAGAATGGCAACCTTAAGTGGTACTTCTATTATCAGAGTGGAAACGTGGAAGGTATGAATGGAAACAAAAGCAGAAAACGGAGAATTCGGAACCGAGGCTGGGGAAGATCTCGCAGCAGGAAAGCCAGGAAATCCACGGGTCCAGAGAAGTCCCCGCCAATGAAGTTTAAGACGGGGAAAGATATCCTAAAGGAATACTACTTGAAGCACAAGTTCTTGAATGAGCAGGATCTGGACGAGCTGGTAGCCAAGTCTAACATGAGCTACGAGCAAGTGAGGGAGTGGTTTGCCGAAGTTTGTCGGAAGGTGGACATGGGCACTGACCCGTTTGAAGACAACACAGGGCAATGAGCAGGAAGAGGAGGAATCCCAGGGGGAAAACGAAATGGCGAGTGAAGAGCAAGGCCCCTTGGCCGCTGGAGATGAAGACGGCGATGAAGATGAGGAGGATGACGACGAGGAGACAGATGACAGTGAATCCTGGGAGCCTCCACAGAGTGTTAGAAAAACCTTGTCTGGTTCGGAAGATCAGTGATTTTATTGATTTTTTTTTCCTATGTTTTATGTCACTTTTGTCTGTGGACACAGTGCTTAGAAAGATCAGTGAAGAAGAACATTGACTATGAAGATCCATTTACAGTATGCTGACTAGTCCTACTTGCATAGCTTTTTACGTTTCCCACCTTCTTGTTCAAGTTTTCTGAGCTTAGTCTTTTTGTTTCCTGAGCTTTGAAGAGACCGGTTCCATCAGAAACTTCAGGAATCTGTGTGCCCTGTTCGTTTGTGCACAGCATTAGACCCAGAATGAAGAATCCTAAAATCAGAAGTTGAGGCCTGAAGAGTCCATTATTCTTCAGTTGTGTGCAATTTGAGTTTAATTTAAGTGAGGAAAATGATTGTAATCAGGTCTTTTAGGATGCGCTTTCTTTCTTTCTTTCTTTCTTTCTTTCTTAATACACGGGTCCTCCACCTGCCCCACGGAGGACTCATGGTGCCAAAGTTACTTTTGCTGAATGTTATGGTTCCCTGTTGCTGAAATGAAAAATTCTTACAAAACACAAGTTTCTGTATCCTCGAGAGAGAGATGGAGACCTACACATACAATTGGGCACTTTGTATTGAATGTTAAATGGAGGAGAGAAGGGAGGGACTTGCCTTTGAAGCCATTTAATGGTGGAAAATCTCAAATGTACCCAATCATTTTGTCCTTTAGTCTAAAAGACGTAGGCTAATGATATTCACCACCACCATCTATCGGCTGTAGTCTGAAGTAATACAGCACAACCAGTGACGACCTGCTGTTTTGACTGCCAGTAGCCGCTCTGGCATCGTGACTGGGTCAAGTTTGCCAGGATTCCGAGGGTTTTTTCCCGGAGCAGTGTGGATGCACAAGACTGTTAGAAGACTGTAATCAGTGCCTGTACAAAAGGAGGGGGTTGGACTGTATGCTCGAGCTCGCGCTGTTTTGAGAGGGCTCTTTTAAAACGTTTTTTAATTTGTGATAAGGTGTATGTGGGTCTTTTTTTTGCTGTTTGCTGATTCTTACAAAACGGTAATGTGTTTCTACGTGTGTACCGGAGGCTTAACCAGCCTTTTCCTGAGCTTAGCAGTAAGGAGGACTTTGCTTCACACTTTAATGTATTTTTAGGCTACCCAAAATAATGTATTTCAACAAACTCCTCAAATGATAAATCAGATAAGAATTTTTGGTTTTCTTTATTACTAATGCACACAATGTTCAGTTTTTAAAAATTGTCGGTAGCTAAAAATTCTGCCAATTTGCTTTTCTGTGAGAAGAGAACCTTGATGGATAATTTATTTACCATGTAGCATGGTATATGGTATTTGATTTTTTTTATTGTAAAATTTGAATTATTATTAATATTGTAATTATTTTTCCCCAATGAACAGACAGCACTATTCTTGGTATTTTTTAAACTGGCCCCTCTAGGTCCCCATGCCAATACTGCATGCTTCAGCTGTTGATGATGATGAAAAGGATGGCTTATTTTGTACATACATTTTGCTGTTGTATTTTATAAGTAGTTTTAAGCGTTTTTATAAGTTTGTATTTATGATGACAGAACCCACCCAGACCTACGTGGATTGCTCGTACAGTAACCTTGTTTTGTGTGATCTAAAACGATTCTACTCGTCAGATTTTAAAAGGAGTTTTGTCCTAAACTCCCGAGTTCTTGGTGAGCGTTATTTGCTTAGCTTGCGATCCTCTGGAGTCATCCCTGTGATTTCTGCACCTTTTAGTGTATTAACAGTTAAGTATGTGCTCATAACTATTGTCTGAAAAATAACACATTCAAATCATATGTCATTTCCATAACTACTTACCATAGCAGAAAAGATCAATTTTAGCAAAAAAAAAAATTTTTTTTTTCTAGATTTGAAAGCGATGCATATGCTACCTTTTTTCCTATGAATGTCTGATTAAGTGCAACTGTATTTCTCCTGCCTCTTCCATCTGTCACCAGTAGTGTTTACTGCAGTGCATTTATAAAATATCACATAGAATCACTGTAAGGCTCAGTAACACACTTTCAGATATGGGGGGATAACAACGGGGACCATCATGGAGGTGACTTTGTAAATCCTACTGAGCCCTAAAATCGAATTTGTTCACGCCGCCGTGGTGGCTAAAGCTTTATTCCCCAGAGCTATAGGCCTTGTGCAATGCTTTTAATTTAAAACTGAAAACTGTTTTAATAGGCTGTGGCTTGGTTTAGACAGAAAATATATTTTCTACTTGTTTGAAGACAACAATAAATTTAGATGAAAACTTGTGGATGTTCCTCATTGTGTGTGAATTTATCTCTGCGTAAATCTTATTTGTTTTTAATTATATATTTACCTAATCATTCTTTCATAATTTAACCGTTTGAAAGTGACCATTATCTGAAGATACAGATTTTACAGTATTACAGTAAGGAGATAATACACAAAAATAAGATGTAACATTGCACCTTATGCTCCCATGTCCGTTCATGAATGACCGTATAGTTTGAAATGCAGGGTGTCCCAAAAAAATTGACATTTTGTAGTCTAATAACAGCCAATTCTCCCTCAAATGATCTCAAATTTTAACAAAATGTGTAAAACCTAGACTAGTTTAATTTTTTATGTTTTTTTTTCAGGTTGAAGACTGGCGTTCACTAGACATGAAAAGGCGTTTTGTGTGTTAGAATATGCTCAAACACAGTCAAACTAGAGTGTGCAGTGGGCATTTTCCAGAAAATTCAATAAAAATGCACCAACTGGAAAGCAGATTTGGACACGGCACAAAAAATTCAGAGAGGAAGGCTATCTGTGCAGGACGAAGGGATCTGGACGACCAGCAGTAAAAAATCTACATCCCTTTCAATTTCTTGTTCGAATTTTGATAAGTAAATCTTGTATTGTTTAACATGAAGCCTCTTTAATTTCTTTTGCCCAGGATATGCAGTTACTCAGATATTCACATCTCAAATGATGTCAGCTTTTTTAGGGACACCCTGTACTTTTGACATTTTTACGAACATCATTTTCGTTTTTCAGAGACTTTTAGTTTGGCGAGTGGGCGCATTAGCCGCCATTTAGCAGCAGCGCGACGCGGGCAGCCAATCGCTTGCTGCGATTTGGTCATGTGACACTCATGTGATTTGTAAACAGTAGCCTACAGATGAAAGGAGGTGAGTAGAGTTTATGAAATAAAGGTAATATTTCTGTAATGTTTTAGTGTAAAGGCTCTCCAGAATATCACCTGTTACCAGTACATACCCTGTTTATTTTTAGCCTTCGGGTAGCATTTACATTTAGCTGTGCGGTAGTTAGTTACAGCTGGCTGAATCAGTGACAGAGGTTCGCTATGTCGATGTGACGTTTATTAGCTAATTTAGCCAGCTAACTGACCGGGTAGCGGGGCTCGTTAACCTCCTTTGGTTTTTGGGAGGTTATTCTCCTTATGAGCTACACGTTTAGGCTGCGGCTGTAGGTTTTCATGGTTCAGGAAAAAGTAAACATATAACCTATGTGTGTTTGGACTGATGGCCACTCAAGAAAACCAGTCTAGATCAGCCAAGTTCAGAGTGTTGCGGACTACAGATAAGAAGTAGCTGTAGGCTCATATGTACACTGTACAGCCATAACATTAAAATCCTTGTTTCTACACTCATTGAACATTTTATCAGCTCCACTTACCATATAGGTGCACTGACGTGGTGGTGGTGTGTTAGCGTGTGTTGCGCTGGTACGAGTGGATCAGACACAGCAGTGCTGCTGGAGTTTTTAAACACTGTGTCCACTCACTGTCCACTCTATTAGACACTCCTACCTTGTCAGTCCACCTTGTAGATGTGAAGTCAGAGACGACAGCTCATCTGCTGCTGCACAGTTTGTGTTGGTCATCCTCTAGTCCTTCATCAGTGGTCACCGGACGCTGGATATTTTTGGTTGGTGGACTATTCTCAGTCCAGCAGTGACACTGAGGTGTTTAAAAACTCCAGCAGCACTGCTGTGTCTGATCCACTCAGACCAGTACAACACACACTAACACACCACCACCACGTCAGTGTCACTGAGAATGATCTCCCACCCAAATAATACCTGCTCTGTGGTGGTCCTGTGCGGCTTCTGATAATTGAAGAACAGTGTATACGGGGGGGTAACAAAGTATCAGAGAAACAGATGGACTACAGTCTGTAGCTGTAGAACTACAAAGTGCACCTATATAGTAAGTGGAGCTGATAAAATGGACAATGAGGGTAGAAACATCAGTACTTGACCTCACTAATGCTCTTGTGTCTGAATGCAGTCAAATCGTCACAGCAATGTTTCAACATCTTATGTCAGGGCTTCCCAGAAGAGTAGACACTTTTACTGCAGTAAAAGGGGACAAACTCCCAGGTACTAGCCTTGATTTGAGAAGAAGTAGTAGATGAACAGGTGGACGTATAGTGTATTGTTCAAAAGTAAGACGTTGCGAGAAGTTCAATTTATGTACTATGCTTAGGGTTAATAAGTGTGGGCAGTTAGAAGATCTGTCACTTCCTGGTGTCCTGCTTCGTTCTCTGGATGATCTTAGGAACCAGAGGAATGTCCTCAAGCAAAGTAAACCCACGTGGCTCTCTCTTACGAGACGGGCTCTGCTTTAGGGACTCCATTTTATAGAAAAATGAGTTTATTACATGAATCAATGAAGACTTTTGAAATTTACCTCGTTATTTATGTTGATAAGTACTAGCAGTGACTATTTATGCCTCATGTTTGGGTTTGTTAAAGCTCGTATTAATCAGACATTTAGCAGAACCTTTGGAAAAGCATCCAGGACTTGGCTGCAGCAGTTGCATTGAACATTTGCACAATAGAAGAGTGTTTCAGTATTGAGCTGAGTGTTAAGCTGAGTTTGGTCTGTGGATGATAAATATCCATTCCGTCAGGACTGTGGACGTGGATCTCTGAAGACCTGCCGGTTGGTGCGAGTGGAGGCCGCCACCATGGTGGACTTTCTTGCAGAGAATAACCTGTGTGGACAGGCCATCCTGAGGATTGTGTCTCGGGGGAACGCCATCATTGCAGAACTGTTACGGCTCTCTGACTTCATCCCTGCGGTTTTTAGGCTCAAAGACAAGAGTGACCAACAGAAGTATGGCGACATCGTCTGTGACTTCAGCTACTTCAAGGTAGTGTGTTTGCTTTCATTCAGGAATCATGAACTTAGGTTGTTATAGCACAACTTGTTATTGATTACATATGTGCTTGTATAGCATTGGGGCTTTATCTCAGGTTCTGGAGGGCCAGAATCCAGTCCGGTGACTGACCTGTGCAAACAGCCCTGATTTTACGCATCATTGAGTGTGTTTACATGCACTCAATAATCCGATAACTGCAGAAAATCAGATTTTGTCAGTAAACCGATCAACACGTTTACATGCACTTGAGTAATCAGATAGCGGGAAACTCCAGGTCTACATGAGTCAGACAGTGATCAGATTTCTGCTTTGCAACCAGCCAATAAACTCACAGAAGAACACGTGACGTAAACGTGATGTAAAACTCAAACTTAATACCTTTTTTTTAAAAACATTGCGCCACTTAACCGAAAATATGAACTTACATCATCTAGAAAATGAAGAATATTTAGATCCTTTATTTAGTGTTTGGTTTCAGCGCCACTCCGAAAGTGTTTTGCTGCCAGAACAGAAATCCAGAAATCCTATCCGAAAATCAGAGTAAGAGTTCACGTGCACTGAGAAATCTGATTACTGAGCTAAAATCCTGCTCTCTTAATCAGATTTCTTAATCGGATTTCTAGATCGGAGTATGGTGTTTACATGACCATTTGAATAATTGGATAACTGCAGAAATCCGATTATAATCAGATTATTGAAAGCATATTGAGTGTATGTGCACTCATTGTGTAATAATAGTGTAATAATATGCAATATGTGTAATAATATGCATTATAAAACGGATAGTTCCGGTCCTAAAATCTGATTGGCTGAGCTGTGTTCAAAGCCGCTTTAAAATCCACGATATACTTCGGCTGTGACCGCCTTACAACTGAACCCTGTATTACTGCGCCACGGCACGAAAAAACCCTTGTGCTGTTAATTGATTAATCCACCGAGTGTACTGATGAAGTAAGAACCCATTTGGGTTTAAACTTTCTAGAACTAGAACCAGGCTGGTCAGCTAGCCAACAGGCTAACAGATAGCAAGCATGCTAAACAACTCCGTCATTAATATCACAGGTCTGAATTAAAGTACACGATATGATTCACTGAAAAACGGCAAAATAAAAGTCTAAAGAATGTCACCTGAATGTCTCGCACACTTCAAATGTCCGTGTTTGAGTCAGAAGTAGCGTCAAACCCAGGCTGAATCCCAAACGGCCCCATACTCCCTAAATAGTGTGTTGTGTACCTTTAAGTTCAGAAATTCTAGCTTCTGCTGTTAAATAGTGCCCTGCTTGTCCAGTATGAATGTGGATGAATCCCAAATTATTTTTTTTGCAATATTTTGCATTGTTGGGCTGCAGGAGTCCGTATTTAAATTCCTATGTAGTGCACTATGTAGGGAGCAGGGAGCCTTTTGAGATTTGCGGCGGTAATTTGGTGACCAAAAGTACTTAACTGAAAGTATTTGCATTAAACAGTGCTGTGTTATCATATGTTCACTGTTACATGAGAAAAGTTTTAAAAATCGTGAGACGGGCGACCGAACGTTCTTCTCCTCATTCAGCGGTCAATGATTGCTTAGCAACAATACCGTAGTCTAAAGGAACTACATTTCTTGGTAGAATACTTGTTTATGTCGATTATTATTAATAATAACTTAAACTATCTAAAACATTGTGTATTTTAATGTATCTTATGTTGGCTGCCGTTTCACGTCGTGCCAAAGAAAACCTTCCCTGTGATAAAATTGCAGTAACGCACGGCCTCAAGTGGCTTATTGCATTGATACATTTGATACATTGAAACATTGATATCAGAACTATAGAGTTGTGTTCATGCCATTGAATTTTTGTTTACGAAGGGAATACGGACATGCTGTCCTTATTAAACTTAAACACTGTAAATGCAAACAAACAACAGTCAGTGATATGAATGCATTAAAATGTTCTAGATATGCATTGATTTGCATTGTAAACAATTAGGTATTCTGCATATATATTATAAGCAATAGGACATCATTATTATTATTGTATAGATTAGTGTTATAAAGGTAGAACAGTATAATATGAGTTAAATGTAGTAAACGTCTATGTAATAGTGCTGTATAGCTTAATGTCAATGAGGAATTTCA